TTAGAAAAGCCTAGATGGATGTCAAGTCCCAGGAACTGTGCCCAGCTCGACCAGGAAGGGAATGCTTAGAAAAGCCTTGGTTGTGCTAGGTTGCTCTTAACCATGTAACTTTAAATCCCAGTGTAATTTAGTGTTCGACACCGTGTAATCTTTCGTGTAATTCCAGATTTACGAAATGTGTTGTAGTTTCGCCTAAGGGGAGTGGATTTTAATTCACTCTTTTGTAAACCCTCGCGTTAGAAGAAGTACTTGTATTGTAGTTTTCCCTATTTTCACCTATAATGTAATCCTAGCCAATGTTGTGCTTTAAATCTAAGTGTGTTAGTTGCTTGAGTCCAACTCCATTAAATACTTCTTTCTACTAACATGGCATTGATTTGTAGTATTGAGACCATATAATGACAGCCAACCTCTATATTCGTTTACAGTATTGAGACCAATCTTCCATACCAACACGATGAGAAAACATATTAGACATATGAGCTATATTTCTTAGGATTTTTTCTATACCAAGCACATCACCCGCAGCGAAGCGCGGGCAGCAGTGGCTAGTATATAGGTATGTGACAAGCTAATAGAAGTATGTACACGTATATGCAAGTAGGAGCAGTAAGCTTTTTCAGTCACCAGGAAGGCGTACGTGCACCTGTGCAAGCCGGCCGGTCGGCCGTAGAGACGACGCGTTCGTCAATGATTTCTTCATCGTCAATGCAACGGCTCCTTAAATTCAAAAAAAATGCAACAGCTCCTTCACCCATAACGCCCGAGGCGTCCATGATCATCGAACGCGATCATCGAACGCGTCGCGTTATGGGATGAAAAGGAGCCGAGTCCGCGGTGACCAAAGCTGCATCTGGAGGGCAGCTAGCGCTCCACAGGCCGGCGAGAAGGGGCACTGATCGGCACCGCGCCGCCCGCTACAAAGGAGGCGCTCGCTGTGAGTGCTGAGTACATGAAACCAGCATCCACGATGCCCAAGAGATCAAAGTCGCCGGCCGAAAGCAGCACCAACAACGGCATATGTGCGCACCGTGGCGGTGGAGCAACCGAGGCTGCGCAGCGTGCAGAAGCGGCCGTGGGGCTCCCGCTCTCCGCATCCTTGAAGATGGCGTGCCACACCATCAGCGACTCCAGCATCAGTGCATCACCACCCCGACGAACGCGATCCAAGCCTTGGACATGCGCCTACTTGATGACGACGCCGGCGGCGGAGACTAACGATGGGGGTAGGGAAGAGTGTCCACGGCAAATTGTCACCGAGGGCATCGCATATCCTCACCGGAGCGCCCGCAGAACTGCTGCGACTGCGCCATGAAGCCACATCCGCGCGCGCCAGGTGCTGTCGTTGCGGACGTAGACGCCGGGGCTGATCCTCTCGGCAAAGGCACCGGAGCGGCCACGGAGGTCCTGCAGCACCACGATAAAGGCGTTCTCTGAGCGGGAGCCCAAGGAGAGCACGGCGTTGGAACCGAGGACGACGTAGGTGCGGGCGCCTCCCCGTGGCGAGGTACGGTGCGACAGTCATGGGAACCGGTGTCGATGCGGGAGCTGGTGTCCGGTGAAGCCATGGAAGAAGACGACCTTGAAGCACACGCCCGCACCGCCTGCGCAACTCGGCTGCTCGCCGCCCGCATCAGCGCCAGGCTATGCAGCTGCCGCTCCCGACGAGGGCCTGCAGAGGATAGGGTTGCCGGCTAGAAACGAGATAGGGACATTCTGGACATTTTAACTAGCCGGACCCACATGTTAGGATGGTCAAATCGTTGAAAACTAACAGAATGTGACGGAAAATGGCATAGAAGGTAAAAAAGTTCTCAGTGGCACCTGCAACCGCTCAAACTTTTTAATGACTTGTAGGTAATTACAAACTTTTATAATGGCATACAGGTAAAAGCCTCTTTAGGCTTTGCACATTCTGAGACGAGTAAATTTCATTGACGTTTATTATATTAAACAAAGAGTTAAATGTATAAGCAGACCCTGAATTTACTAGAGGTAACTTAGGTTCACGAATTTTGAAAACACATTTCTAAGTCTCTAAACTTGTTAAGTGGTAGATCGTATGTTACTAAATAAACTTGTAAAATGGTGCACCATAGATCAGTTACGAACCATATGGATGACTATATTGCACCACTTAATAAGTTTGGACTCAGAAATGTGTTTTCAAATTACTGACCTAAGAGCTTCTTCACCGGATTTCTTATACTCCCATCTATCCCTCAAATAGGAAATATACCATCAGATCTTCTATTGCATCTCCTGTCCTTGTATTCTTTAGTAGATCTTCTAAATCCACCACCATCTCTCTTAAAGAAAGGGAAGACCACTCCCTCTCCTAAATCAGGATGAGTTTTTGGCAATCTGTCGGAGCAAAGGTCTCTCAAATCCTAACGTTGCTTCTGAGAGATCTCCTATAACTAGTTATAGGGGGAAGACATAGATATGGTGGAGAGCATCTCTAAGAGTTTCTAAAACCCACTCCCAATCTAGATTTCTTTTGGCAAGATTAAAAGAACCCGCTATCCAACAACTCTCTATCTCAACTCTCAATTTTTCCGCACTTGGGAAGAACGATCTAGTCGCGCTAAAATATACGTGCACGTATCAATCCGCTAATCTGGAGGTGGAAAGACGTGGAAGAATAAGAAATAGGATAGGATTCCCAATGCAAATGTAAAGTATAAAATTGGTTGGGTGATACATAAATAGTTAGGTGTTCCTAATGCAAAATTCTCTTCTATATTTTAGGAGCGAGATTTTGGAAACTGTTTAAGAAACCTAACAAATATGCTCCCAACATTTTTAGCCACTTGGAAAACTCATTGATTACCAATAATTATTTTGAGAATTATTGGAGATGCTCTAACACTCCTAACAACTTTAGAAATTACTCTTGCATTTAACTCTAAAATTAACTTGTCTCAAGTTCTTGTCTCTGTTCAACTATTGTAAACTAGGTCTATTTTCTTGTCGATTGATGCACAAAGTATTCTCCAAATTCCCTTGTCACCAGGGAGGGAGGATCCGGTTGCTTGGCATTTTAACCGGTCAGATTTGTTCTCTGTTCGATTGGCTTATCATTGTAAGTGGACATCGAAGTTTGATACTGAAATCACAAATCCAATGTGGTCAATAGCAATATTTGGAAGTCTCTGGAAATTATCTATCCCAGGGAAAAAGTAAAATACATGGCTGGGGAATTCTAATGGGCTTCATCCCGTGCAAGGGTGCATTGTTCAATCGCCATATTGTGGATAACTCATATTGTGTCCATCAGGCCAGGAAGTTATAACACATATGATGTTCACGTGTGATCGAGCAAAGTCAGTATGGAGCTTCCTGGATTTGTGGCGATATATAGAAGATTTAGCTCATGATAGAAATATGCAACAAATGTTAGAAGAGATAATCAAAGGAGGAAGAAAGGTACCATCCCTGAATAATGTCGGCCCTGGCGGAGTTGATTTTTGACCGGAGGGTGGTACATATGGTGGGAACGACGAGGGTTTGTCCATGGAAGAATCTGTCCAGACCGATCAGCGTTGTCCATTGCCGCCCTGACCTGTGTCGCATAACCGGAACGTCAAGTTGCGTCTAGGATGGAAGAGACCCTATGAAGGAAAGTTAATGGTGAATATAGATGCAGAGTTTGTTGATGGATGTGGAAGCTCAGGAGTGGTGATCGGAGATTTGAGTGGAGGATTCATAGTGGTGTCAACTTGTTACTTGCGCGCCTCTTGTTTTGGATGCCCAAATGGCTGAAGCGTATGCCTTGAAGGAAGTACTTAGGTTTGTGCAACACATCAGTTGTAGCAACTTCATTGTGCAATTTGATTGCATGGAGGTGGTCAAGACGTTGAAGGAAGGTGGTTTCTTGGCAATGGCATTAGCGACAGCTCCAATACTTGAAGAATGCTACAACGCGTTAAAGGAATTCTTGATGGCCATGATTGAGCATTGTGATAGAGAAGCAAATAAGTTGCACATGAGCTAGCACGACAAACTTTTATTTCTAAAGATTTTTGTATGGATTCACGTCCTAGCTTTATTTTCCATGCCTTAGCAAATGTGATGTAACGTTGTTATCAGTCGATTAATAAAGCTTGCCGATGGCTTTATCAAAAAAAAAAAAAACATTTGCTCTGTCTGTCTCCTCTCCCTCTCCCAAATTATCCCTGTTTTGTCCCAAAAGATTGTTGTAAAATCTTTCCAGGGTCTTGGGAAGTGAAATTGGGGTTTTGACGATTGCTGGCTGCTGGGGATGTGGGGTTTTTTTTTTTTATATGGGAGAGGTGGAGATACAGTAATACGCCTCCCTTATAATGTTTACGTTAATTGTACAGACGTTAACGTGGTCATTGACTAGTGGGACCAAAATCTCTTGGCCTCCTGCCAGTGACTCGGAGCCGGGGCCCGCAGGCCGGAGAGACCACGGCCGGCATCCGCCTTGAGGAAGAAGGTAATGAGAGGTGGGGCCTTAAACTTTTCGGCCCCACTTGTCAATAATCTCCCCTGCGCCGCGCACTCCCTCGCCGGCTCGCCGCTGCTGAAGGCAGAAGCAGAAGGCGTGGAGGGGTTACTCGCATTGCGTCGCTTCTCGGGTCTCGGCGTCGGCGTCGGCGTCGTTTTGGGGGGCCGTTCCACGCCTCCACCTGATGGCTCGCCGCGGCCGTTGCCACCGCCAGCGCCGGCTCCGGCGGTGGTCCTTCTCTGCTCTGATGGTACGGCTCCTTCCCACCACCTAGGCCCCTACAGCCGACTTGGTCGTCTTCGCTTTGCTTCGGTGTAGATAAGCGGAGAGGGGGAATTCGTTTGCTGCAGCTTTGTGGCTAGGGATGGAGATGGCGTATGTAAGCGGAGAGGGAGAATTTGTTTGCTGCAGCGTTGTGGCTAGGCATTGAGATGGCGTGTCCGTGATACTGATATGAATAGGAAGTTGCGATTGGTCAGTTTTGTGATTGCCGTGCCCCGAGGAGCGACGGTGTGCTTGCCATGACATGCCGCGGAATGTGCCAGGGACCGGGTGGTGGGTGTTTACCATTTCTGGCTGGGAGCTCGGGGGTGCTGATAACGGCACCATGGTTGGTTGCTCCTGGAGTCCTGGGTCCCGAGTATGTTGTCAGCGTCAGGGGAGGATGGTCAGCTGGCACATGGGGAGGAAACTAACAACTAAGGGGCATGGAAACTCAACGGTGCATGGAAACCTGGAAACAGCCATCCTGAACTAAGGGGCATGCAAACCTGGAAACACCCGTGGGACATTCAGTTTAGTAGTGGCAGACTTAGAAACTGTCTTGTAATAAAGTCAGGGAGCAATGTTTATATTCAGTTTAGTTTGCAGCAGTAGATAATGGTTCAAACATTGAAATATATGATGTGGTTTTCAGAAACTTTGGTTTATTGTTTATGCCTAAAAATAGACATTTGGTTTGCACCGTCATTGATGATTCAAGTTGTCGATGTTATATCTGGGCAACCGAGCTGGTAGTCGCTGGGGATTGAGTTCAAGATTGCTGCAGGTGCTGCATCATGGAATTTTTGGGATCCATTTGAATGGGGCTGGCGGGACATGTGGAAGTGAATGTAGGGGGTCTAATAGCAAACTGTCCTGAGCCAGTGTGGGGGGCAAATCACAAAATATACAACAGGACTGTTTGTTCCCCTGTGTCACACATCTGAGATCTGATGGTGCATGACCGTAGTTTACATGTTTGCACCTACTATGCAGTTTCCACGGCATATTTTAGCAAATATGAATTGTTTTTTGTTTGCAGATGTTACCTGTGTCCGCTTGGAAAGAGTGGGTGCGATTCGTGCGTAAGGGTTTCTTTGCACTTCTCCAGAAAGACTATGAGAAAGATCAACTGAAGGAGAAAGAGGATGAGGTAAATTCATAAGCAGGAATACATTTTTGTTCATAGGTAGGACATTTTGTTCAAAAAAACCAAATTGAGATACTCTATGTACCTGAATAAGTTGAATTACAGCAGGCGAAGTCAAAGGTTGATCGCTTTGCTGGTTATAAGAGTATTTGCCTCTTTGGATTGGGTTCTCTGTTTTGGGGGAGTGCCACGGGCTTTCTTGGGCAACTAAAAGAGAAGGATGAGAAAGCCGGCAAGGCTCCAAATCCTACTGCATGGATGAATTTCTGCTTTGCATACTCGGCTTTTGCACTTCTGTTCATGCTTCTCGGCGTCGCTGCATCTACTTTTCCAAAGTCATCCTGGTTCGCCCCATCTCTCGCTGGTTTTGGAAGTTTACAGGCTCTAATTTTAGTCTTGGGGGGCTTCCATGTGGCATCCCTCAAATACCATTCCTATAATGAAGAGGCAAAGTACTCAATGATTGGGTCCAGTATACTTATCACAATCTACTGGGGCCTGAGCGTTCAAGATCCTATGGTAAGTTTCTGTGCACCGCATTACTTGAACAGGGCAACAACTATTTCCAAAAATCCTACTAAATACTGACACGCTTTCAATTTCAGATCCTTCACTTCGTGGTGAAACTGATTTTTTGGCTACCTAGCTTTATGGTCTATGGAGTGTTCATGGGTGTCTGCAAGGTTTGGCAGTATGGCGAACTCGCTTGGACAAAGGTGCTCTCTCTGAAAAGCACTTTGATGGCTTGGAACCACACAGTAAATGACTATCAACATCTGCCTCAAACAGTCAGTTCCTCTGGTGCTTCCCTGAAGGTAATTCGTTCAGCTGCTGTTCATCTTTTTTGAAAATGATATTTTAATCCTGATGTTTCCTTCTTTGCATATGTCATACTAACTAGGATGTTAGTGGCCCTCCACTGCTACTGCCTTAAGAATCATTAGTGGATTTGTCGGTTGCAATACTTAAGTTAAGAGTAGCAATACAGGACACGTGTAATAATTTAATTTGTGATTGAAAAGTCAAATGATATTTGGGATACAAATGTACTCGAATGTAGGATACATATGAATGTACATAATTGAGCGGTAAGCATCAACACCAAAATATATAGGACATGTGTAGATTTTAAGACTCTCTTGGCGCGGTACTGGTTCCTAACCTTATTTGTCTAGCAGCTTAGCAACAAATACCAACCTGAAGCATAAAAAAAACAGCTGACACAACAATATATTTATTGACTGGTTCATAAAATTGAACTGAAATACAGGGCTTTAGGTAGCCCAATTTGCAAGAACAGCTTAGCAATAATTTGTTGAACTTACATTTCTCTCATATTTCAAATTATCCTTTTGTATTTTGTGCATTTTGAACAAATAAACATAATATTATTTTTCCCATGGCATGATAGCAATGACATTGTTATAAGAGAAGATGAAGCACTCTGTTGTGACTCATAAGTATTTGAGTCAGGCCAAGTAAAATTTTGCTAAACTCAAGGATATATGTATTATAGAAGTATATCTTTGCCTTTTGGTTTGTAGTCGGTTGTTCCATTTGCAGCATTTTTTTTCTAGTGGTCTCACAAATAGACATCACTTGCCATGTAGCAGGCTCTGTGAAGGCTCTCAAGATGCTACACCAAACAGAATCTCTGTGAAGGCTCTCACCAAATCCAGTACTCTGTGAAGGCTCTCAAATCCAACTGAATCATCTACTGCTCTGTGAATCATCTACTACTCTGTGAATCATCTACTCTGTGAAGGCTCTCAAATCCAACTGAATCATCTACTACTCTGTGAAGGCTCTCAAAATGCTCCACCAAACAGAATCTGGTCTGCAGGAGCTCAAAGATACCATTGTTTGGTTTCTTTTTTTTCTTAGATTAGATTTAGATCAAAGGTATACTGTCTGGTTTCATGGGCCAGTCTGAACTTGGCAGTTCTCACTGTGGGAAAGGAACCTGTTCGTCTAACAATGGTCTGTTGAAACTGTTCAGTGTCGTAGAATCCGAAAGAATTGCCCAATGAGGTGTCTCTGTTAGGGGCATGGCAGCCAAGATTCTTGCGCTCAAGCATGCTCACCACTGTGGTAACTGTATCTTGTGCTGCCATGTGTGGTCTTATGCAGAGAGGATGTTGATGAACATGAAGGAAATACAAATTTTGTTGCCTGAACAGGTGTCCTGCTCATCTGTGTGTTGTTTGTTGTGTTTGTAAAATCTTGTTTTAAAAACTGGCTAGTTGTTTCAATGCTTCCTGTAGTTTTAGTGCCATATTAGTTTGCATTGCAGCATACACCCTCCTGCAAATATGACCAGAATTTGAAGACAGCATTCCTGTTGTGAAAACAACAGGATCAATATAGCTTATATAATGCATATATCAGAAAGTATGATGTGGTTCTTATTTTTAGGAAACATAGAAGGTGATGTTGATGTATAGAATACAGTACATGAGTGCTTTCTGGTTGTGGTTATTTGGATATATTTGATGGAAGGAGTTGTTGAATTCTTGGAACTAAGTTGTCATTTAGAAAATTTTGTTGAGCAATGTGACGGCCAATGCAGCGACGGCGGTGGGTTTCTGCAGAGGCCAATGCAGCGACGGCGGCGGCGGTGCCAGTGTAGACGGGGCCGCATGGGCGGAGACAGCAGGGAGGAGCGGACGGGGGAGGGCGCGGGAGACCTGGATATAGGACGCGTGGTATCGCAAGTTGGAGGGGCGGATCGGCGGTGCGTGCTGGCGGTGGCGTAGATCGGAAAAAAATGACGCCTCCAGGAGGGATTGAACCATGGAGGGAGGCTGTGGGAGTGCGGGGCTGGCGACGGGGGGAGGATGGAGTGGAGCGCGTGATGCGGTATCGCACGGACGGGAAGGAGGAGCGACCCAAAAAAAAAATCGTACAAAAAAATTGTCTTACTTTTATTCTTTTTAGTTGGAGGAGAAATTGGATAATTAAGATGATATATATTTATTAATTGAGGCATACGAGTTGAGATCATGGTTTTCTTTTTCGGCCGAAATCTCCTGATATTTTTGATATATCATTTTTATCCGTAGGTGCCGATAAGAAAATATCTATCTTTTTTTCGTACAAATTTTGTTTAAATTTATTTAAATTTACTTAAATTCAAATTAAATTTTATTTGAATTTAGTCCGATATTTCTGATATATCCTGTTTATCCTCTTTATCTGTGACCCCCGATAAATTTTAATTTCCGAAAATGAAAACCTTGGTTGAGATAGCCTTTTTTCTGAGATTATTAGTTTCAATTCAATCATTGATCTCTGTTTTAAGGTGTTGGCCCCACCCAAGTACAGAATTTATTTCATTGGTGTATATTTACAGATGTAGCAAGTTTAGTTAATTCTGCATCATTTACAGAATTTATTTTTTTGGTTTCGTTTGTATTTACAGAAAATTGTCTAATTATAGACTATTTAGGCTTAAAAGATTCGTCTCGCCAATTACAGTTTTAGTTATTCTTTTTACCTACATTTAATACTCTCCATGCATTTGATGTGATGGGAAATTTGAAAAGTATCTACTTACCTAGATGGCCGTCGAGGATGAGTGTTCACTGAACCCAAATCCTGGGATCTGCAAATACGCAGCGATGAACTTAGGTGATGGAAGATTTCGAGTGAGAGATTAGCCAAAACAGTATGTATTACTTCAGTATTCTTGTTCACATAGCTTAAAAGAAATATCCTTGTACTTTCTGAAGAAGTGAGTGATCCCGGCAAAAGGGACCATATAGGCATATATCTTCTGAAACACGAACTGTTTCATCTTGATGGTCAGAGAGAAAAGGAAACTGACAGGAAGATTTCAGAATTCTTGCCTCTCGGTTCATAAAGCAGTCGTTGAACAGTACCGGCCCCGCCCGCTCGTGCACTCATCCACATCCACCCGACGCCGCACCGCCTCCTCGTCACGCCAGCCGCAGCTGGACTGCCGGAGGAGAGCGGGTGCGGGATCGATTGGGGCGCGTGCCCTTAAATCGCTTAATCTACTTCTTTGTTCATCCAGAATAGTATTTTCCTATCACAAATTCCTCCAAACTATCTAAATTCCTCAAGAACCATACCATCCGAACGGGGCCAAGCACAACACACGGGAGAGCTGATAACACAAGGAAACGAGCCCTAAGCCATCTAGACAAACCGGGTCAAAAGCACAGGCGAGTCCGATGCACGGCCGGAGCCTTTACCAGAGAAGGAACCAAACCAAGGAAGGAAGGCAGCACAGTAAGGACGACGTAACTAGCACTGACAGGACGGGGGGAGCCACGAGCCAGAGCTCCCGCTGTACAACCCAGCCCTAGCCCCCCAGCGGCGAGGACAAACCACAAATGACCCGAGACGGGTCGCGCCGGGCGTGGCACGCGTCCTCGTTGGCGACGGGACGTGCGGGCGCCCGCAGGCCACAGAGGAGGCGCTATCCTTTGCGCTGAGCGGTCTGTTTGTTTGTTGTTTTTGGGAGGTGCCACTGGCCACTAGGGATATATGAGATAACATGATCGATAATGATAGGATACGGGCGACTGTCCCGTCCGGACACGCCTCCCATGGGCCTTCGGAGCTGCACGGCCTGCTCCCTCATGGTCTATCCAGAACTACTCTCCATCATTGAGAATTAACGTATTTCTTTTTCTCCTAGCCAACACATCTCCTCTCCATTGCGTGCGCCCGCTCCTCTCTATCGTGTTCGTCGCTCGCTCCCTCCATGACCGGCAGCGGCCCTCTCGTCTCCATTGCGTGCGCCGCTGGCTCCCTCCCTGGCCGGCGGCGGCGCCCTCCCCCACCATGGCATCCTCCTCCCCCCCACCGGCGGTGCCTTCTCCCACACCGGTGGCTCCTTCATGCACCCGACGTCCTCCTCCCCCACCCCGGCGGCTCCTTCCCCTACCTTGGCGTCATCCCCGACACCGACGTCCTCCCCCACAAGGAGCTCCCAACGTCCTCAGATCCGACGGCCATGGCGCTTCCCACGCCAGGCTCTCTCCCCCTGTGTTGCAATTGTATGTTTCAATTGTTTCAGAGGTATGTTGTAGTTGAATCATATGGATGTTGCAAAAGTATATCGGGGGATGTTGCACATGCTGCATATGTTGCAAGTGTTTCAAAGGCATGTTGCAAGCATTTGTTCAAAATATTTTACCTGTTTATAGACGTATGTTACAATCGTTCTGATCTGGATGTTTCATATGCTTCACACATATGTTGCAAGTGTTTTAGTTGCTTTAGTATTATGTTACAACAGTTGTTCCATGTTGTTTCAAGTGTTTTATTTGAGCGTTGTTGCATACGCTTTTCTAGGGCGCTAGTGTCGGACGGTGCCCATGCGCAAGATAAGGATCCCACACCGCCTATTTTTTCGCACACCCCATCGTGTGGGCCCCCACGCCTATGCTCGGTTTCTCTATGCTTGCTCGATGACACCCCAGCAGCGGAGCCCTCGCCGCCTGGACGTCACCCAGCAACTGCAGCAGGTGGGTCGTCCCACTGCAACATGTGCAACACCAGATCTACTTTTGCAACATGCAGGTGAAACACTTGCAACGTACGTCCAAAAACAGCTGAAGCACTTACAACATACGTCTGAAACACTTGCAAAACACCTAAAAACACTTGAAAGCCATTGCAAACATATGCAACATCCAGATAAAACACTTATAACAGACGTATGAAATACCTGAAACACTTGAAACATACGCTTGCAATATGCATGTATATGCAACATATAGATCTACTTTTGCAACATCCAAATAAAAAACACTTGCAACATGCGTCTGATACAGATGAAACATTTGGAACAAAAAGTTGAAACATACGTGTACATCCATTGCAACATATGCAACATCCCGATCTAGTTTGCAACATCCCAATCTACTTTTGCAACATCAACATAAAACACTTGCAACATACCTCTAAAACACTTGAAAAATACGTTTACAACATGCTCTTTAAGCTCAAACATCTTCTTGCTACTTCAGCGAATGGAGGCTCGTCGGCATATGGAAGTCACCGGTGTACTCGCGGCAACTCAGAGCTAGGCAGCGGCGCACAGAGGGCGGGTGTGGGGTGGCATGGGCGGCGATGCAAGCAGAGGGCCGGGTAGGGGTGGCACGGGCGGCAATGGCGCATAGGGCAGGTGGGTGGAGCATCCAGATGTCAGACATTTGGGTTAGAGCGTTTCCGTAAGCCATATTTGTGCCAACCCTATCGTGCGGGCTCGTGTCTAAGGAGCTTATTATGCCGTTTCGGCCGTGCAGT